GAAAGAGAGAGAGAGAGAGACTGATTTTGAATTCACTCGAGAAATTTAAGAGAAATTAATAATTTATATAATATATTATGTGACACATGTTTTATAACACGGTTATAGCATGGTTACCTTTCCATCATTTTGAATTCTCGGAGAACTTCCGTATAGTTTTCGCAGCGGCACACCCTGTACACAAACGTCCGCCGCTTCAGCAATAAATAATCCTCTCGAATAAATTCAGTTATGATATTAAAATCAAAAAAAATAATTTATTAACAAAATTTCGAAGAGAAATTAAATAATCTGTTGATCGAACATTTATTGCATACATCGATGAAACGGGGAAAAAGGGATAGATTTACACCTAACGGAATTGACTGTTATTTCGTTACAGCAATGACAGATAATCGATTTAAATAACAATGTCGGAACGATCGCGTTCATTTCATCGTGGGGACGATCTTACTGTTCACGCCCGAACGATCCGATTTTGCCTTCCTATCCCTGCTCCTCCTTTCTCGCCTGTTCTCTTATTTCTTGTAAAAAATAATTAGCTGCAGCGCTGGGTCCAGGGACGATTTTTCGCGATCAGGAGCGGAAGACATCAGCCTCGCACGGACTCTCGTTAAGAAAAGATATATAGGAACAAAAATATGTCGCTCGAAACCCCATCTTCCGTATAACGGAGGCCGTAACTCGTCGGGGTTTCCTTCATTCTAGTCGAGCCCTTTGCGAACTCTCAATCTCGATCTCTTTATGACCGATAACTTCTCTCCCGAAATCTTCTCTGGACTCAACACTTTATTTGCACGAGCAAGAAAGTCGATTTCTATGTTCGAGGATCTCTATATGTTCTATCTAATGATGAAGACTGATATGAGAAGAAGATAAGGCGAATATCAGGCAAAAAGCGCTCGTCATCGAGGATTCCAATTGCGTCAAAACATTTTTTACAAATGTGAAAAATGATTTTAGATTTTTGTCATATTGCCGCAGATCAATGCCAGTGTGCAATCTAATTTTGTTAGTTTTGTTAATATAAAATTATCTTTTTTTTTCTAGTCACTTTTATCTCTTGGAATTTTTCCTTCTATAATTCATTCAACTAGATTATTAAATTAATTAATAATTATTAATTAGTAATTAATGTTATTAATTAATTATTAAATCTATCTTCACAACGGACGGAGAAAATATATATATTTACCGAGACGTTATTTAGTAGATAAATGTTTCAAAGAGCTCGACGATTAACATTGTTTCTATATGCTTAGAAATATTTGTTACGATCTCTCATAGCTAAAGAGGCTTCTCAAAAAGTGTTCACTTTTAGAAATTCTAGAAAGGCAAGATTTTGTATCTCTAAAATTCCTCGATCAATAGCTCATTAAAATCTTATTCCTCTCTTTATAAAATATCCTGACAGAATGTGTATTGGCATCAATCTATCGTGAAGAACTTTCTTATCTTATTGCTATCGATTTAGTGACGTAAATTAGTTTCCCCAGCGAGAATAAGCGCTTTCAAAATTTGATAGCCCTCGAACAGAATCAACGTTCTCGCTCGTGCTATCTTAATTTCGATCGCAAGGGTCGTTCGAGTCTTTACACCCTCGGATCCTATTTACCTTGCATTCTTACCGGGCATTTTGTCTTTTGAACACTTGCGCGCGTATCCATCCGCAAACGTGGACGTGTCATTAATGAATCATCTGCTACACGGAGAAACGTTTTTAATTTGCAATTTTTAGAGGAAGGAAAAAACTTGATATGTCCATTCATTGCGAATTGCATATTTTTTATATCGATACCGGATTATGCACGCTGGAAACGGAATTGATTTATTCCTTTATAGAAAGAGTAGAGCATCAAGATTGACCATTTAAAACGTCATCGCTAGTGGTTAACATACGCGTGACATGTATATATATGCGATATAAGATTTATATTTTGCCTATCGGCCAATGCAGCAACGGTGTCCATTATCGGTTCGCTCGTATGTCTAATAAGATTATTATGATATATTTCAATTTGTATGATATTCTGGATATATTGTATTTTTCAATACAGTATCAATCAATACAATATCAAATATTATATTACAAACAGCCAATTTTATTTAAAAATCAGATTTTTCAATTTCTATCAGAGTAAATGTGATTATTACGGCGAGCCTTTGATTTTTGCAGGAAACCGTTCCTTTATAATAATTATTATTAATAAGTATCACAATTACTAGTTAATCCTTCACGGCCAAAATTATTTTATCTGCTCTAATTAAATATTATTAGTCATGGTAATATTATCACATGATGATTGTTCACACTTCTGAAAAGCATGTAATGTTATATAAGAAAATATTATTATATTTATATTTTTCCTTAATTTCCAGATTAATTTTATTTAATCTGGACTTATCTTGGCATAAAATAGTGCGCAAGTTTTTCAGGCCGCAAAGCATTAAATTTTAATTAGCAACAAGAATTGAGAAAATATTTTCGAAATATCGCAAAAGCCTTCGGAATAATCGGAACAGTTGAATAAAGATAAAATATGGTCCGTTTCCAGCGACGGAAATCGAACGCGAATATTTAATTTCTTCCGTGCACTGTATCGTGTACGAGGTTGCAAATCGAGAACATTACGCGAACGATATCGCTGAACAAAATAAAGAAGACATTTAATTCGAGGAACCACAATAGAAAGCTAATAAAAGATGCAATCAGATATCAATTCCGCCACGTCCGCGAGGCGTCGAACATTTGCGGATACATACGACTTTAGATTAACATATACACATGTAATTATCATATCTATTGTGCACGTACAGGTAATTAATGTGGTCTCTGTTTATGTATGTGTCTGTGTCTATAAGGACAATGCCTGATCTGTAGTGTTACGGAGCTCGGATCGCGTTGCGATGGCGATGGTAGTTACGATAAGATTACACGAGTAAAGATGCGCCTGAGCAAAAATAGATTTCAAGATTAACAGATAGACTACTAACACATAGACTATTAACGTAGTCTAGGAAAATAATTAATCGAAATAATCATAAATTGAGACTAAAGCTTACTATTACTTCCATGGAGATATCTTTCTCACGATATAAATAAAATAAAACTACTATTATAAAAGAAACCTTAAAAGCTATGAAAAAAAAAAAATAAAAAAAGGTTTTAATAATAAAACAATAAACGTTTTAATAATATATATGTAATAACGTTTTCTTTAAAATAGATAAAAGGCGAAATTGAATGAAGAAGTACTTAAAAATTTTTATATTCAAATATATTTGTGTATATTTGACATTAGGTAAAAAATAATCGTGAAATCTTTTTTCGCTCGAATGCGAAGTTATTCCCGATATTGTAATCTTACTTTATCTTACGGTATTTTATCTTGAACGTAGATAAAATATCAAGATATACATCAAAAACAGAGATGCGTGTCGACTGCGGTAATCTTGGCGGCGAGGACGCCGATTTGAGAGCCTCGATCAGCATCCTCTGCCGTCTATCGCGTCGATCGTATGGTGCATTTTTTACGACGACGATGACGACAACGACGGCGAAGTTTACTGTAGCGAGACAATGGTAACACAAGGTGGTAGTAAAGGTAGCGCTGGTAACAGTGGTAGTAGTGGTAGTAACGCCATAGAGTAGTAACGCTATCAATGAGTAGTAATAAGTATAACAGTATAGTAAAGTTGTAGTAGTTGTAGTAGTTAAGTAGTAGTAGCGGCGCGTTATACGTATATAAATAGGACACTCTACGTTAGTTTGATTAAAAAAGTAAATGTCATAACGTAATAGGTAACTTTAAGCCGGGCCCGCCTCGCCGTCTCTTGCTGAATTCAACTCTCGCCCTTTTTCGAACGAGGCGGACTCGTGGTTGTTCGCCTTAGCTCTCTAAAATCACATAAACGCAAGAGTAGTGGTAAAGAGTCGATCGATATCGACCATGCGCTTCGGACAGCGCTCGAATGACGTTGACGATGCCAAGCTCATTTGCGAATGCGTTAGATGAAAAAATGAAAAATTTACTACATGAAATCGGTAAAAATATCTAAACTGCATCGCAAGTTCCGAACAACGAAATCCAATTGTGGGCGCTATTTTGTTCTCGATATCAAAATATGCAATTGAGTTCAGAAATATGTCGACTTCTTCTACTTAATAATTTCTGGTTAATAATTTATGGCAAAGCTATTCTAAATTACTTTTGACTGATTATAAAATGCTTGTAAAAATGTCTAATAAAGGTTTGAGATAACCGATGTCTGAGATATTTACTGAATCATTAACAACATTATTAAAGATTGATATAAGTAAATCTAAAACATGTAAAATGTGTGTATAAAAATACTACGATTGAAATGTATCTAATCAAATAATTCTAAACTTTTCTACAGTTAATCATATAAACTCATAAAATAATAGCGCCACTCCTAAATTCACTTTCCATTAGCATAGATACCCGAGGGACGCATATCGCAACTTGCCGCTGCTTTTAAATACATGTAAACTCACACTTTTCACTATCCCAGTTTCCACTGGTTTCATTCGATATTCTTCATTGCACTCAATCACATTTGCCTCGAGAACGCAAAGCGCATGTCATCAGTATAGATATGTCCACGATAATATATAGGAAAAACAAATAAAAAAATACTTAACTTGATGTAACATAGAATTCCATTGATTCTTGTCATGCATGCGGACAAGTAATCAATGCGTGTAGACTCGGCATCGTCCGGCCATCGAGAGCACGACCGACAGTCACATCCTACGTCTACTGTCAAGACGGACGCGCGTTGTCCACCTTTCCCGTCGTTACTCTGATATGTTGCGAATTGCCGATGCGTTCTCCCGCGACGTGCAAGGTATTGCCGAAGATATTACACGTATCCAAGTGGCGGGTCGCGTGCGTGGGCCATGAGAGCGACGAGGCGAGCCGAACGCGAGCACAGAGAGCCTCGTACAAACTAGGTAGAAAAGTGAGAAAAATTCGCACGGACAGCCTTTCTGCGAGAAAGAGAGAACGAAGAGATCCCTCCCGTCTATCCGAGTCCGCACGAAATCTATTACAGCTAGAAGGGAGAATAGCGAAACCGCGCCGCGGCCCGCCTCGTGCCCATTTTTCTTTTCTTCTTTTCTCGCCCTTTACTCTTTATTCGCGCCGATCCGTTCTCTAGCAGCAGCAGCAACAGCACAACAACACCAGCTGTGTAGTAGTGTACTTACTACTAATAGTGTAACAGCGTCGTCTGACACCCGCCACCCGACACGTTACGCATGCAGAGACCTGCGTCAGGACATTCTATACACTTACGTTCGCATATGACCCATACATACATACATACATACATACATACATCCTCTTACACTCATACATATGCGCATTCACTCATTGCGCTTATACATGCGAACAACAAACTTTCCCTTAAGTTTAGCGTTCGCATTCGCGCGGACAGCTCACATCCGCGCTCGCTCGTATGACCAATAATGGCTCTCCTCGCTCCTCCCGCTCGACGAATCTTCTCAGGACATATCCTTCGCGAAGTGCGAGGGGACGTCACCAGGACGTCATCGAGAACCGAACGTACCCGCGGGACCGCGCGAGATTACACGCGAAAAGAGAATAAAACTACGTGTAATACGAACTAAGAAGGATGCAATCAGAACGAAGATAACGCAACCGCATGGGTTTGAGAAAGTAATTGTTCTATCTGGACGAGACTGCTCGGCTCGGCTTTAGAAGGGCAGGCTACCGACAAACATCGTCTCGATCAAGGGTGGTGCCGGCACCAGATCCTCCAACTTGAGATAAAAGATCCGCTGGAGGCCCTGGACCGAAAGACTCCTCAGCTCCGGTATCTTCCCCAATAAATAGGACAGGTACTGCGATTTCCTCTGCGCCTCGGCATTGTAGGTCACGTGGTCGCGCAACGATGAAACAATTTTCATCTGCAGCTGTTCCATACGCTGTGGCTCTTTCAATCCATACCTCTCTGCAAGAACACGAATCAACTTGAGATCGCTTTCTCAAAACCAAAACTATAAGACAATTGCCACTAAATTCTGTCATTAAATAATAATAATAATAACAATAATAACAACATTCGTACATTCGTAAGTAATATCGGAAACTTTATTGAATTATCGGATTAGTTACGGATTAATCCTATATTATTTTCGGAAATTAAATCGCGAAAATGTAAGCGATAGAAATAGAATACCATTGTTTAAAAAATTCACTGAGATTGATGTAATTTAAGACTCTTAATTACATTAACATTCAAGATTAAGAAATACTGATAAATCAATTAAACTCCAATAATATCAGTCAATCTTCGACACTTAGCTATCCAAACACGAAAACTCTTGGACGAGCTTGTAAACCATACACCTGCATGTTCGGTTGCCAACAGATCGCGTGCAGAACGCGGAGCATCGTTGTTCCTTTCGTCGGAACGTCAATAATTAATTGATCTGACGAATTAATTATTTATCCCGATTGGTATAACCGGAACATAAGTAGATAGAACCGGGTATAGGAAGATTAAAAGCGCCATGAGAAAGACCAACAAAATTGCGAAGTGACAACTATGACGACCACGGGTATTAATATCAATATTTATAATAATATAATAATTAATATTTATAATAATAGAGATTACACAATTGTGACAATTCGCTCAATCGTGCGATATTGGGAAGGTTAGTTGAATTTTAATCGAGTACTAACCAGTAACCAGAGTGAGAGCACACAGGCAGGCAAAGGCGCTGATGTCGACCTCCAGGAAATGGAGAGCTTTGCAGAAATCGAGAATGCTATGCAGCCAATCGCCAAAGCTACGCTGACATTGTTCCAGCGCGAGAACGACGCCGTTGCAAAATACCAGCTTTGTGTCTTCCGGATGCGTACGATATGCCAACCTAAGCACAAACAGTTCCAGACTGGCCGATTGGAAGAGCAATTCCTGAAATCAAATTACATCGCGAAATTAACACAAGCGCATCATCAGTGAGTATCAGACTAAAAAGGTGTTTTAAAAAAACTTATTTACTATCAAATATAGTGATTTTACCGAGAAATAATCGAGCTAATTTTATTTAGCAAATTACAAATTTGAGACAGCGAAATCTTTGCTAGTTATAACGACGAAAATTAACGTCTATCTTTCCAAGCAGTCTGCTAGTCAGCCATCCGCGTCGAAAGCTCGTCAAGACTGACCTTTTAGAAAATGTATGAGCTATCGATCTCTATAACCTCCCAATGGATATCGCCTAAGAATCGATACCTGACCGGTGATATAATAACTGCATATATCTCGACGAGACCATCAGAAAAGACCATCAGAAAAAATGATGAAATAATAATGAACGCTCATCATTAAATTTTTGAGATTTTTAAAAATTCTGTCTAATATGGATTTGTTCACTAAGAAATCTCTTCTTATTTCTAAATCTCTTTAAAATTGTTGTAAAGATCCAAATTTTATCTCATTCCTTTTTATATTAAAAGAGTAAACTTTTTACGTCGACTTGTGATCGATATTTCTCAGATTCGATCCTCATTCCACGTCTCGATTTATAAGAGGTTGATTAAAGAATCAAAATGAAGAGATATAGAAATTGTGTGGAACAAAATTGTAACTCATTATTGTTACTCACCTGATCTTCCCGTACTAGATCCGTGAATCCGGGGATTTTGTCGGCGAAGTTTCGGATAACATCGATCGAGGTTGTCAATAGATTGTAGAATTGTTGAATCTTTTCGGCCTCGGTCATCGGGGGGTCGCCAGGTCTAGGTTGTCGGTACTGTGAGTAATCGAGACTTGCCTTATCCGGCGTTGTGTCCAAATGTGCGCGAACCAGAGCGGTGATCAAGGAAACTGGTGGACTCGGTGGGGACTCCTGCGGTGATTTGGGCTTCGAAGGCAATCTGCCTCTACGGCCCTTTAGGGAATCTGTTCTAACGACCTGCACGACAATTGAATAATATAATCGGTTACAAATATTTCACATTCATAATTTTACCATAATTTTATTTTATTACTTTTTAAAATAATCTTTAAAGAAGTATTTAATAATATAACTTCGATCTAATTTAATTTCATTATTTAAATCTTAAAGGCGCTTTTGATAAATGTTAAATTACTAGTTGAGAATTTACTTGTTGAGACATAAACATCTAAATCTTTTAATACTCAGTATATATATCTTCGTGGATTCAAAGAAAAAAATTCCGAAACATTTTATTTGCGACGATGCAGCGACGATGCTACTTACCTCCTTGACCATGCCGACCATCAGGCACTTCTGGAATCGACAGAATTGGCAACGGTTTCGCCGGCGTTTGTCCACCGGACAAGCTTTTTCAGCCAAGCACACGTACTTGGAGCCCTTCTGCACGGTCCTCTTGAAGAAGCCCTTGCAACCCTCGCAAGTGCGAACGCCGTAGTGCTGGCAGGCCGCGGTGTCACCGCACACGGCGCAAAGCTGGCTCGGGCTTGGGGGCGCGCGTTCGCCACTAGTGCCGCTTCCGGGCGATGGCGAACTGACGGTGGAACTCGCGGTACCGCCGCTGCCGCGCGGCTTCGGGGACTCCGTGCTCCCACTACTGTTAACACGACACAGGACGCGCATTGATCTATAACCCGTCGCTAGTCAGAACGAGGATTTTCCCAAAACTCGTCGCGTCTCGTGTCCTCGAAGCATATAATACTAATCATAAATGCGAAATCCGAACTCACGTCTTTCACTTTTCGAGATTTAGCAAAATTGTAAAAAAATCTGTTATACGCGCGGATTTTCGCATGGTTTGTTTTATTATTTTAGAGTTGAATCAGAAATTTTAATTTTTTTTTTGGAGTTTCTCTACACTCCGTAAATAGAGTTAGTAAGTGAAAATTACAATTGAACAGAAATAAAACACAAAGATATATGTAAAAATTTGAATGTCATTAATTTATAAGTCGAGGAGCAATGAGACATGAAATTATTTATATTTATATTTGTAAAAAATCTTACCTTGCTGATTCTGATCTCTGAGTGGGCAGTGACGCCCTTCGTGGTCGGGTGGTACCAATGACGACGCTGGTGTCAACATTGGGACAGAGATCGGTAGGAACTACGGAAGTCGCGACACTGGCGATGGTTGATGGTGCCCCGTAAACCATGGGCATGGTTACAGCCACCCCATAGGATGGATCCTGCCGATGATTGGAGGGTGGTACGACCGCTGTTGTTGGAGTGGGTGCCGATTCTGTGGGGAAGTAACTTTGATGATGATGCGGAGTCTGTTGTTGCTGATGATGCTGTGGATGATGATGAGGATGTTGCTGTTGTGGCTGCTGCTCGTGATAAGGCACCGCAGCCGAGAATTCCGTTGGGTAATGAGGAGTGCAAGAATATACTGGGGTATCGTAACATTCGTCGTCCATTTTGATACCGAGGCCCTGGAGTTCCTGCCTGGTGTATCGCTGCACCGTGTAGGTCTCCTGAAAACTCGGCAACGGCGTAGGACTGCGAACAAAAATGGATAATATTTTATAATCCTATTATCCAGAAATTTTAATAATTTAATAATAATGATAGTATTGAATATTGATAGTAATATAATTTCTTCACCGAGTTATTTGAGAAATTTTTTCATTAGAAGTTACAACATCAAAATCTTGCAAGTTTAGGAATAAGTTCACATACCTAAGGGAATCAGCTTGGATATCTTCGGGAAGGGGTGGTGGTGGTGGTGGCGGTTGCGATGGCTGCTGATGGTGTACACTTTGCTGAGCAGAGTCGTCGACCGGAGGCACACCCTGCGGATTCCCGAGTTGCAATTCCGGAAAGGGATCCAACTCTTCGGGCAAGCTTCCGGCATCTGCAGCGTCCGGATAAGGACTATTCAGGAACTCCCCGAAATTGCCAAAAGGACTCTGCAATGAAAAATCATAATACATTTATAAAGCAAGATATCATATAACGGTAACACAATATATATAATAAGTAAAATATATATTTTTATATATATATATATATATATATATATATAATAAAGTAA